AAAATAAACTTGTTGTGTTAAACCATTTAAATTTCAGGAATTTTTAAAATTCCATTAGCTCACTGCTACTTTATCTGACTACTACACTGCTCCTCTTCCTTTTATAAGGCTTATTTTAATGCTTTTCCTTCAAATAAATACTGCACATATTATTGTTGCAAAAGATGATGAAAATACATAGAAATCACAATTCTCCCCTTGCAAAGTTCCTTCAACATATTGACCTCTACTCAGAACTTTCCACAATGTGGTATATAAATTTTAAAAGCTAATTTCAAGTTTTTAAAAGATAGATGTAGTAATATATATGTGTGTGTATATGTGTGTGTATATATATATATATATATACACCCACAAGCATATATAAATATAATTTCTATTTATATATGTGTGTGTATAAATATAACTAAATGTGAGTAAAATATACATATAAATATGCCACTTGCCTTTGCCACTATCATAAGTTCAATTGCATTCTCCTAAAATTCTATCTTGAAATTAAAATGTTGCCTTGTTTGGAGATAGGATTATTTCAGAGGCAATCAAGTTAAAATGAAGTTATTAATGCTGGCCCTAATCGAACATGATGGGAGTCATTTTAAAAGGGGGGAATTTGGACATAGAGATATGAATAGAAGGATGAGAATGTGAGTATACATGAAGACAGCCATTTAAAAAGCAAGGAGAGAGGCCTGAAATGCATCTTTTAATCACAGCCCTCCGAAGGAATCAACCTTCTGTACATCTTGCTTTTTGACTACCAGACTCCACAACTGTGAGACAACATATTTTTGTTGTTTATGTCATCCAGGTTGTGATACATTTCTATGGCACCCCTAACATGTCAATATAACCCTTTATTGAAATGGAATCAAGAGCTTTCCATGACAGCACAAATGTTAATAGATCTCTCTTACTTTTGGGACTATTTCCTAGAATTCCAATTTATTTCTGTGCAATAATGAATTGAACAAATCTCCTCCTGATGAACAAATATTTGTTTATCTTTTGTGGCTATAATTAATATAAATACAATCAACATCTCTGAGCATAAATTCTTGGACAAGTGCTTATAATTACTTATAAGGAAAGCATTTTCATGAGGAAACTGAGTCAGTATGAATATTTTATATTTTTAAAATGTTACTGACTTTTTTCCCTAAAATATTTCACCAATTAATTAGCTCACATTAACAGAAGAAATTATTATTTAATAATAATTATTATTATTTCCCATATTTGTCTATGGGGAAATGATTCATTTATTTAGAAACATATTTTATCAGAGTTTTAAATGTTGGTCAAGCTTATGGGGACAAACCCTAGGTGACTTTGGGTTTGGTGATGGCTCTTAGATGCAATACTAAAATGTGGTTAAACTTATGAGTGCAAACCCTAGGTAAACTTAGTTTTGATGATGACTTTTTCAGATGCAACACTGAAAGTGCCAGCTATCTAAGAAAAAAGAGATAAATTGAACTTCGTTAAAACTAAAAACTTCAACTCTGAAAAGTCACTGTTAAGATCATGAAAAGGCAATCCAGACTGGAATAAATGTTTTGTGAAACACATATCTAATAAAAGATATACATTTAAATATGTTCAAAACTCTGAAAATCCAACCATAAGAAGACAACCCAATTTAAAGTGGATAAAAACTATAAACAGATACACAACCAATGAATATATAGGAATTTAAAATAAGCATATAAAACTGTTCAACGTCATATGTCATTTGAGAATTGCAAATTAAAACAACTAGGAGATAGCACTATACACCCTGGAGAATGGCTGACATTCAAAACAGCGAAACATCAAATATTGACCCATATGTTGAGCAACAGGAACTTTCAGTCATCGTTAGTAGGATAGACCTGGAGGAATCATAAAAGCATAAGGCTAAGAGAAAGAATAAAATCTTCAAAGGCTACATTATTTATGATTCCAATCATAGAATATTCTGGAACAGGTTAAGTATGAATACACTAAAAATGTCAGTGGTTTCCAGAGGCTGAAGGGTTAGGTTTGAGGCAAAGGGAATTGATAGGTGAAGCACACAGGAGATTTAGGATGGTGAAACAATTCTGTGTGATACTGTAATGATGAATGCTCACCATTACACACTTATCAAAACCTGTAGCATCCCCAACGTTGAGTGAGTTCTGATGTAAACTGTGGACTTTACCTAATAGTGAGGTATAAATACAGGCCCATCAGTTGTTGCAAACATGCCATAGTAATACAAAATGTAAATAGGAGACACTGTGTGTGTGCATAGGGCAGGGCAGGAATTGGGGGAGGCATATATATGTGGGAACTCTATAACTTTGATGAAGTTTTCTCTTTGTATTTTGGGATTAGCAATGCTCTAAAAATGATGTCTATTAATTTTTTAAAAGATGCAAATGATTTGAACAGACACTTTACTAAAAAGAATAAACCAATCAGCAAAAGGCATATAAAAAGATGACCAACGTCGTCTGTCATTAGGAAGATGCAAACAAAAACCAAATGAGATTCAAATGTACAGGCTTATTAGAATGGCTAACATCTGAAAATATAAAATACTAAATGTAAGAGAGGATATGGAACAAGAGGAATTCTCATTCCTTGATAGTTGAACTGAAAAATGGTACAGCCACACTTTTAAATCCATATTTTGTGAACCTACTCATATGACAAATTGTGAAAGTTAAAATAATGTGAACTAAAAACAGTATAGTTGCTAGAATCTTTGGAGAAGTGCCTTGATTGACCTCAAAAGAGATGTACAGGGGATTTTTAGGGTGATAGAAGTGGTTGGTATAATACTTGATTGGTAGATATGGGACTCCATGCATTTGCCAAAATACATATAATTTCACATAATAGTTAAATCTGATGAGTGTATTTTAAAAAATTAATAATGTATTGGTTTTTAAAAGGATCACTCACAGACAATGGATTTTTCTGGGACAAGGAAAAGAAAAAAAGCAAAACTAAGGAAGCTGTTGACATAGGTTAGGCGAGAGATTATATTAATTTCACACACAGCAGTACTTAAGTGGAAGGTTTTGGAATGGATTTTAGAGGATGACAGAACCACTGTTGCTGTCTGGACAGGAGAAGTGGGGAGTGCAGGCCCTGTAAGGAGTAAAACCTTGAGGAAGATTAAGGGGCCTTCCCACCTCATTTCAGACCCGGGACACCAGAGTCCTGCCTGGAGTCTGGGAGGCCCTATCCCACTGTGGATGGATGTGATTCTCTCTCTCTTCCACTCGCAGGTCTCAGGGAGGGGCGGGGCTTATTCGGAGGTGAAAGACTCAGATGCACAGAGGCAGTGAGTCCAGGCACAGCCCCCCAGGAAGGCTGGAAGGGAACACCCAAGGCTGGTAGTGGCCCTCCCCTGTCCCTGTGACTGCTGCCAGCTGTCGAGGAGCCCATCAGAGTCCCCAGATGTACAGCTTTCTGACTTACATTTTGGGAGTCAGCCGGAGAGGAAGATTTCTCTGAGGGGAGCAGTTTCAGTTATGCAGAGAGAGGAGCCCCAGGACTGGCCAACTAACAAGAAGAGAACTCTGTGGAAGGACAGTGACCTCCCAACATGAAGGGGAGGGTCAGGCGTCGCCCAGCCACTCCCTGCTGATACCCATAAACAAAAGACTTGGAGAGGTAAAAACGGAACTGTGGGCAGGGAGAAGTGGGTGAAGGGTGAGGAAGTTAACAGAAATAGGTGGGAGGGAGTGGGGAGGTAGGCAGAAAGGGGTGGAAGAGGGCAGGTTCGTGAGCATGAAGAGGTCGGAGTAACTTGGGAGGTGGATAGGAAAGGGTGGGAGGGAATGGGAAGGTGGACAATAAAAAGTGAAAGGGGATGGAAGGTGAACAGGAAAGGGTAGGAAGGGGCGGGGAAGTGGGCATTAAGGGCAGAGAGGGGTCAGGGAGGACAGAATGGGGTGGGAGAAGACAGGGAGGAGGGCGGGAAGGGATGAAAGGGGGAAGGGAAGAGGGAGGAAGCAGTGAAAGAGGACTGGGAGGTGGATGGAAAGGGGTTGGAGGGGGTTAGGGAAGTGGGCTTAAAGGAGTGAGAGGGGGCGCTGAGGAGGGCAGGAAGAAGTGGAGCAGGAGTGGGGGGAAGTGGTCAGGAAAAGCTGGAAGGAGGCAGAGAGGTGGGGCGTGGTTCCTCCGCAGAGAGGAGGCCTCGCCCCACACCTCCCCTTCGAGCGGCGCTGGTCAACCCCCGCAGGGTTCCCGGATGTGCTTTCCCGGCTTCCATCTTGGGAGTCCATAGGACCTGCGGCGTTTTGTGAAAAGTCTGGACTCAGGTCACCGGAGGGAAGTCAGAACTGGGCAGTCCTCAAGGTGAGAGTCTGAGAGAGAACTGAGGGACCACCCACCATAGAGAGAAGCAGCTCCGGCCCGCCCTGCCCTTGTCGCGGGACTTGTAGGTCCCAGACAGGAAAATGGCCGGCAAAGTCTGACGGACCCGTCCCCACGACAGAAGGAGGGAGGGGGTGCTGGCTCTGTAGGTAATAAACAGGAAGACTTTGAGAAGGACTGAAGGAACCCCCACCTCTGAGAACAGAATCCCACCCTGCTCCTCATATTAGCCATCGTAGAGCTCCCCAGTTGGCTCAGGCTGAGCCGCAGCCCCCTCATTTCTGAGTGAGGGGTGTAGGGGAAGGGGAGGCCTTGGTCTGAGGGTCCCACGGCAAGTCAGCAGAGGCATCTGCCTCCGGTTGGCAGAGGGAAGATTCCCAGGCCCTGCTGGGGGTAAGAATGACGACTGAGGTGTCACATGTGCTTCAGAGCAGATGTGAGGCTGCCCCGACTGCCCCCGTGGTAGAGTATGGGACGTGGCTGCCACCTCCCTACCTCCCTCTGCTCTCAGGGATGTGGAGGTTGTGCGAGGTTTTGCCTCAGGCCAGCAGAGTGGTAAGGGATGTGGCCCGATCTGAGAAAATGTGACAATGCTAATTAAATTCTGAGGGGGCTATGAACCCTGTAAATGTGGGGCTCTGGGAGTCTGGCCAGCCCCGGCTGTCAGCCCCGGGAGGCCCAAGCCTCTGCTTGCAGTTTTTAGCCTGAGGTGCTCCTTCACTTCCTCTTGCAGGTGCTCCAGGAACCACGTGGTGACGAACTGGGTCTGAGTTGCACTTCCTAAAGCCAGCACAGCAGAGGAGGCCCAGGCAGTGCCAGGAGTCAAGGTGAGTGCACACCCTGACGGTGTACCAACGGCCCTACCCCCACAAACAGAGCAGACCCGGCAGCACCCAATCCTAACCACCTACTGTAAGTCCCGAAGCCTGGGGTTCTGCCTACCAGCTGTGCCCCGAGGTGCTTCCTCATATCCTCTTACAGGTTCCCAGGGAACAAACCCCCTAGGAAGACAGGAGACCTGTGAGGCCCTAGAGGACCACTTTAAGAGAAGGAGAGATGAAAGAACGCCTTTGTCAGATAAATTATGTGTGCCTTTCTCGGCCGAGGCCACTCACACTGTCATTCTCTCCCTCAGGCCTGTGGGATCCCATCATCTCCATTCCTGCTCACACGTTTACCTGCTGCTCCTGAACAACAGGCCTCATGCCTCTTTTTCCAAACCTTTCACACCTCAGCTTTGAGCAAGACTTCCAGAACCCGACTGTGATAGAGGACTTGGTAGATGTACAGGATTCCATAGATGAGGAAGAGGAGGATGCCTCCTCCACTTCCTCTTTCCACTTTTTATTACCCTCCTCTTCTTCCTCGTCCTCATCTTCACTCTGTACTCTATTTCTGAGTGCTTCAGAAGATGAGGAGATGCCTCTTGCTGGGATACCACCTCTTCCCCAGAGTCCTCCCGAGATTCCTCCCCATTGTCCTCCTGAGATTCCTCCCCATTGTCCTCCTGAGATTCCCCAGGGTGTTCCACAGAGTCCTCCCCAGAGTCATCTGCAGAATCCTCCCCAGAGTTCTCTGAACTCCTGCTCCTCCCCTTTCTTGTGGACCCCATTGGAGGAGGAGTCTAGCAGTGAAGAAGAGGAGGAAACACCTTTATGGCAGGCTTTCCCAGATAGTCAGTCCTTGAGCAGGTATGTGCTGGATGAAAAGGTGGCTGAGTTGGTGCAATTTTTTCTCCTCAAATATCAAAAAAAGGAGCCTGTCACAAAGGCAGAGATGTTGACTACTGTCACCAAGAAGTATAAGGACTATTTTCCTTTGATCTTTGGGAAAGCCCATGAGTTCATAGAGCTAATTTTTGGGATTTCCCTGACTGATGTGGACCCTGACAACCACTGCTATTTCTTTGAAGACACATTAGACCTCACCTGTGAGGGAAGCCTGATTGATGACCTGGGTATGCCCCAGAACTGTCTCCTGATTCTTATTCTCAGTATGATCTTCATAAAGGGCAGCTGTGTCCCTGAGGAGGTCATCTGGGAAGTGTTGAGTGCAATAGGGGTGTATCCTGGGAGGGAGCACTTTATATATGGGGAGCCGAGAGAGCTCCTCACTAAAGATTGGGTGCAGAGAAAGTACCTGGAGTACCGGGAGGTGCCGAACAGTGCTCCTCCACAGTATGAATTCTTGTGGGGTCCAAAAGCCCATTCAGAAGCCAGCAAGAGAAAAGTCCTAGAGTTTTTGTCCAAGTTATCCACTACCATCCCTAGTTCCTTTCCATCCTGGTACATGGATGCTTTGAAAGATGTGGAAGACCTAGCCCAGACCATAATTGACACCACAGATGATGCTATTGCCATCCCTGTGCAAGCTCCTGTGTCATGTCCTCCAACTTCTGTCCTGAGTGAAGTATGAGGCACAGTATTCCCTGTGTTTGAAGAGGGCAGTCGAGGTTCTAGGCAGTGGAGGGCCAGAGTGGAGCCAGAGGGACCAGAGTGTTCTTTGTGTTCTTGTTTCATATGAGTGACTTAGAGTTTAAAAGTTTGTGTGTGTGTGTGTGGGGGGGTGTATTTTACAAATGCTTCTCCTTCCAATGAAGGAGTTGGTCTTTGACTCAAATTCTAGCATCTTTGAGTTGCAATCTTAGTTTATGAATATTATTTACACTTGTGTTGTTGTTTGTCTGGTTCAAGAGAGAGTGATATTTCATAAGAAAAGAAGGGAAAACCTGTCTTAATTCTGTGAACTGAAACAGTATGTTGTGATGTTCGGTAAGAATTTTCTTTAAAATGTGAAATAACTCTGCAGTTAAATGGTGGAACAAAATAAAGTATGGTTGATATATTTGCATGTCCTTATCCTGTTACTCTGTTGCTCTTCCACATTAAAGATACATACCTGGATTTGCTTGGCTTACTCAAGAAAGTAGCAGAAATTCAATCTTAATAAATAAAAGCCTCAGTGACTATTTGCTAAACATTCTTTGAGCATTTACTTGTGGAGGGTGCTCTTAGTAGTGGGGATACTATGAAAAGCAAGACTTTACCTATAAAATGGTAGAGTCTAGGAGAGAAGCCATGTCAGGAAGGTGGTAAGATATTCTCTATAATCTAAAGAACATCTTAAAAATACTGGGGAAGTGGGACTCCAGATATGAACCTTCAAATGAGTTAAGGCAGTTTTGAGCTTTGGGAAACTGCAGTTGCTTCTGTGGGAGCTGATTGTCATGAAGCTGGATGGTGGCAGGGGCCAGACTCTTAGAATGTGAGAGAAAAGCCTGGAATGGAAAACTACTTGAGCAGTTCCCTCTGGGTGAAGGATGAGGCAGAGAGGAGTCACCACATGGGGAAGTAATGGGAGGTGTCCTGCAGCTGTCTAACTGGTGAGCTTGAACACAGTGCAAGAAGTAGGTGATTGATACCCATCATCTGCAAGGATTTCCTGAGAAATAGGGTGATAATCCCTTGAAGTGTTGCTCAGAAGCCCCTAGGCTGGCACTTATTTGCCTGGACTGGGAGAGCCAGCGCCCACTCCATTGAAAGACATTTAATTAGGGTATTTTGAATGTAATGTGAGCAACCTGTAAGCAAGGACTAGATTTTTAGTGAAGGATAAATAAAAATAGTGGTTTGGATGGATGAGCAATGGGGAAGGTGTAAAGGAGTTGGTCTTTGACTCAAATTCTAGCATCTTTGAGTTGCATTCCAGCTGAAGATGCCTTCCCTTTTCCAAATTATACAATATACCCTTTCAGAAAAAAATATACTGAGTTTTATTTATGAAATCAAAGTTTTGGTTAAGTTGGGTTTCCATGACGCATTCACCTACATATTCTCTGAGATGTTTTGGATAACAAAACTAAGAGCTGCATTTTGCCCAAAAGACAGTGGTAAGGTTTGGTGTTATAATCATTGATAACAGCTGCGATTTATTAAAATTCCAATATATGCCAGGCACTGTGGCAGGTATTTTACTCATATTACATGCATTCCAACAATTCTACAAGACAGGGCTTTTCAAACCCATTTTACGGATGAAGAACCCAAAGCTCATAACGCGTGATAAATTCCCAAGATTATGTGGCTAGACTGTGACAAGGTTGCGACTTGAGCCCTGATCTGAATTCGTTTAGGCCCACACTGTCCCCACCTAGCTTGAGGAAGGCCTTTGCCTGTTACTTCTTTTCACACGTCTTTTTTTCTTGAGACAGAATCTCCCTTTGTCTCAAGTTGCCAGGCTGGAGTGCAGTGACCTGAGCTCAGCTCACTGCAATCTCCGCCTCCCGGGTTCAAGTAATGCTCCTGCCTCAGCCTACCAAGTAGTTGGGACTACAGGTGCGCACCACCACACAC